CTTTTCCAGCAATCATTGTAACACCAGTTAAATTTGTCACTAACTTTTTGTGCTCCATTGTGAAACCAATATCTAGCTGGAAACTTGCTCGAAACTGTAAGAATAGCTCGAGATTTATCGCATTCAGCAATAATTTCGCCGTCCACATCTTTAAATTGAATTTCTAATTTAAAAAGATGATTATATTGAACTCCAAATATAACTTTGATGAAACGCCGCTTGTAATCAAGCGTAAATTTAACTTTATCAATAAATCTTGCTTCCGAAATAAAAGTACCAGGTTGCAAAAATGCACCCATTTCAATGCTTTCTGCATTAAAAACATGTTCCTTAAGAATTTACCCGATGTCTAAATATTACTTACAAAGTAAACTAAAATCCTTTATCTCTTTCACATTTGATTTATTGGTTCACAGAAAAAGAACCAATCAATGCAGACTGTTGTTGACCGTCCGACCAATAGTAGCGAGGGCTTGTGGGGTTTTATGTATTCATATACCGTTTATATACCATAAATCAGCCCATATTAGTTGTCAAGTGATCGTCAATCATTTACTTTTAAGGAAACTCCGGTTATTTCTAAACTATCAAACAATGACATGGCTGCCTACAATTTGCAACAGATTCTATATATGAAGTATATTGACACGTGTTATATAATTAAAAAATGCAAGTTTCCTGAAATCGCAATCGTAAGAATATGCGCAATTAAAATACATATCACAAATGGAATGATTTAAATCTATGAAAAATTACATAACGATAAATATAATTATAAATAATTCCTACGAAAGCTAAAATAAATGTCATTTGACCATTATAATCAACGACTAAATATTCAATCACATTTTTAGTCTCATTCATCTGTCGAAGCTTTACTCCTAAGAGTTCCCTTCGATTTTCTATCACGATGATAAAATTCTTGCAAAACTTTTTGTGGTATACGATTTAACATTTCTTTTGGGAAAATACGAAGAATCGACCATGCTTGATCTAATGATTCATAAATTGTTCGACTTTCATATGCACCTT